TGGCCAATGATACACTCACTCGTTTCACGAACGTTGGAATGCGAAAACCATTCCTCATCACAAGTCAGTCCAACTGCGGCCAACCCATAAATTGCAAAACAAGTTGTTACAGCTTGGTATACCGTAAATGGTAGGAGTCGTTTTGGTCATTTGATACTTAAGCGAGGACAACAGACACGCCGGAAGCTGTCCGTGAGTAGGCATTGGTTTCTAACACGTACGTTTAATGGGGATGATGTGTCGAGTACATCTACTATCGCACACTTCCAAGTTGAAATCCGCCAGCTTAACTATACGCATGTAGAAGAGCTGAAAGTACTGGTAAACTAAATGACAGGAGACTTTTGGCGAAGTTTCGCTAAATTCTGCAAATTGAATTGATCTCATGAGCAAGGACTAAATCCTGTCCCGCACCGGTGACGTGGATGGGCCTTTACATGGTGGCAAAATGAGAGTGGCATTTTTATCAAACTGGAACATTTGGCTCGAAAGTGAAGCCACTGAAGAACACTTCAATGATACCACACGCCACAGTGTGTGGCCATGACCTCCAAGTTTACACTCACGACTAGTGCATATGACATCTGCTGGGCCGGACACGCTTTATCAGCACGAGAGCTAATGGTGGTGGTGAGCGCTTGCTTACAGCAGCACGTGTGGTGTGATGAACTAAGTCTCCTCTAAATAATGACGTGGTGTACACAATTCAAAGAAGACCGCACGTCTTTCCGCCTGTGTCAAACTCTGTTGTGGTGTCCTAACAGTCATTCCCGTGAACATTCAGCTGTCACGTGGAATGCCTCATCTTGCATGCACGATGGACGCGCAATACGTTGTGGGTTGGTGTACAAGAGATGAATCGGTCTATGTGTACGGCGAATCCATAATAACACAATCGTTCGAGATTATTTGCGATTTCCAAGAGCGTCTGCACATAAAGTCATAAGTCTGCTTGACAGGAATACAACAGGCAATTTTTTAACGCCACGTTTAGCATAGTATCGTTTGCTATGAAATCGTCATTAACGTCCTTTCTTGCCTTTGAAACCGCTAAAGTTGTTTTAATAGGTCAAATTGAGTGGAATAAAACGAACCCATTGCAGGTCGATCAAACTTAATGCGGTTCTGTAAAACCGCCTTTTGTCGTTGTCTGACAGTTGAAATAGCTCTTAACTACGGTTTGATTCTTCATGTCAAGTGAATCTGACAGGAGCGTCTGTAATTGCGGTGCAGCAGGATTTTGAGAGACGCATCCACGTTGACATGATTGATGCGAGATGTGTTGTTACCACGACTTCAAAGGTGGCAACATTGGATTCAGGAACACTTTCACTTAAAGAATTATCTACTAAGGGTGTGGAGGTATGTTTTCTCATTCCTGATTCTGCCCCATTTGAGAAGGTTGGGAAGATATAGGAATCGCCTTCGTTACCAGTCGGCTGCTTCCATAACGATTCCGTGAGCTAGACCATGCTTGGCTCCATCTAGAGACTAAATAGAGCGTTTTTCCATTCACAGTAATTTATACCCATCTCACAATCTCTTTTTGTGTTTGTATATACTTTTACGGACATTTCTACCTCAAAACGATACCTGAGACGCAAAAAATGTCTAATGTTGATGGAAAAGGACCACATGATATCACCATAGGTTTACTGCAGATCGTGAAGTGTTGTATAGAAAGGCGAAGAACTAGAATGAAGGTATTGTGGTTAGATTCATCTTTAGTAAGCGGTCACCGATACCAGAGTAAAAATTGCAGAAATACTCCACAGAGCTCTCCTAGTC